ATGGAATGGACAATGAGACTGGCACGGAGTCCATGGTCAGTCACCGGCGGGAGAGAGCCCGACGGCGAAACCGAGAAGAAGGTACTATATAGCTTTGTCTGCCATAAACCCCCAGGACCCCCACGGCCCTGCCAACACCTACTTAGCCCCATCAAGAGAAGGTCAGGCCCCAAGCCTGGTGACCCCAACGACCCGGTCACCTCACCAACTCTCCTCAGGCCTCAGCACCCCTGGGCCATGTGTTCAACTTCAACCCTGCTGCCCCCACAGCTGCCCGGGCCAATGGGCACCCGAGGGGAGACCGGCGTCGGGACCTGGGGCTCCCTCCAGACAGCGCGTCCACAGTGTTGAGCAGTGAACTAGAATCCAGCAGCTTCATTGATTCGGACGAGGAGGACAACACCAGCCGGTGGGCAGGGGCGTGGGCAGCAGTGTCCGGCTGGCTGGCTGCGGAGCTCCTGCCCCGTGTTTGCTCAGGCACAGGCCATAAGCGCAGGGCCTGGGCGCACGCTGGGAGCTGAACCCGCTGCCGACCCGTGACCTCTGACCCTGCCACCAGGCTGAGCAGCTCCACGGAGCAGAGCACCTCTTCCCGGCTTATTAGGAAGCACAAGCGTCGGCGGCGGAAGCAGCGCCTGCGGCAGACGGACCGGGTAGGTGGTGGGCAGCCGGTGGGGGGCGCGGCTACTGCAGCGGCTCACCAGGTCCCTCCACAGGCCTCCTCCTTCAGCAGCATCACCGACTCCACCATGTCCCTGAACATCATCACGGTCACGCTCAACATGGGTGAGGCTTGGCGCCGGGCTGGGGGGGCGGGCGGGGCGGCCAGCTGCTCACGGCCCCTCCCACAGAGCGGCACCACTTCCTGGGCATCAGCATCGTGGGCCAGAGCAACGACCGGGGCGACGGGGGCATCTACATCGGCTCCATCATGAAGGGCGGGGCCGTGGCCGCGGACGGCCGCATCGAACCCGGCGACATGCTGCTGCAGGTGCGGGCCTGGGGCTGGGGGCTGGGCCGGGTTGGGTGGCCCCGCCTCGCTATCCTAATGCCAAGCCCCGCAGGTGAATGACGTCAACTTCGAGAACATGAGCAATGACGACGCTGTGCGGGTGCTGCGGGAGCTCGTGTCCCAGACGGGGTGAGGGGCGTTTCCGCGGGGCGAGGGGCATGGCAGGCGGGACCGGGTGCGGGCCTCACCCATGTGACCACCTGCCCGCAGGCCCATCAGCCTCACAGTGGCCAAGTGCTGGGACCCGACCCCCCGCAGCTACTTCACCATCCCGAGGGGTGAGTGGCCCCATGGGGCGGGGGCGGGGCGGGGGCGCCAGAGCCAGAGCCAGCCTGAAGGGCCTCTCTCCTCTCCCCTGTGCCCTGCCCTCCCGACCTCGTTCATCTGCCCATCTCCCATCGTCTGCTGCCCCACGGTGGCCGTCAGCTGACCCGGTGCGGCCCATCGACCCTGCTGCCTGGCTGTCCCACACGGCAGCGCTGACCGGCGCCCTGCCCCGCTATGGTGCGAGCCCCTGCTCCAGCGCTGTCTCCCGCACCAGCTCCTCCTCACTAACCAGTTCTGTGCCCGGCGCCCCGCGTGAGTGGCAGCTCCCTAGAGCCCGGTGGGAATCCAAGGCGGAAGGGCAGGGCCTCCCAGCCTGGAGCCCCTGCTCGTGCTGCCTTGGGCCCTTGGCGGGCCTTGCCCGTTAGGGTGGGGGATGTGTGTGGCCCTCTGCTTTCTCCGCCAGTAACACGACTAATGCCCTGAGCTTGCAGGGAGGTGGCCTTGGGGAAGGGAAGAGGCTGTCTGGTGCCTGGTTCTGGTTTGTGGGGCAGGGTGGCCTTGCCCACCTCTGGCCCCAGAACCTGCAGAGAGGTGTTCAAGGGCTCAGATAAAGGCCCCCACCTGGCCCCTGCCCACTCCCTGCTCCTGCCATTTGTTGCCTGCCCGTGGCTGAGGGAGCTATGTCCCTCAGAGCTGGAGGAGGCGCCCCTGACGGTGAAGAGTGACATGAGTGCGGTTGTCCGGGTCATGCAGCTGCCGGACTCGGGGCTGGAGATCCGGGACCGCATGTGGCTCAAGATCACCATTGCCAACGCCGTCATTGGTGAGTCCCTACTGAGTACACCTAACTGGCGGTGGGGGCAGGGGGCTGAGTCTGCTCCTCTGCAGGGTGGATGGCCGGCCCAGAGTGACCTGGCCTGACGCAGCGGGCGTGGGGCCAGGGGCGGATGTGGTGGACTGGCTGTACACCCACGTGGAGGGCTTCAAGGAGCGGCGAGAGGCCAGGAAGTACGCCAGCGGCATGCTGAAGCACGGCTTCCTGCGGCACACGGTCAATAAGGTCACCTTCTCTGAGCAGTGCTACTACGTCTTCGGGGACCTGTGCAGCAGTGAGTGAGGCTGCGTGGTGGGCTCACCCCACGGCCCTGTGCCACCCTCACCCACCTCCTCTCTCCTGCCAGATCTCGCAGCCCTGACCCTCAACAGTGGCTCCAGTGGAGCCTCCGATCAGGACACCCTGGCCCCGCTGCCCCACCCGGCAGCACCCTGGCCCCTGGGTCAGGGCTACCCCTACCAGTACCCAGGGCCTCCGCCCTGCTTTCCGCCTGCCTACCAGGACCCTGGCTTTGGCTACGGCAGTGGCAGTGCTGGCAGCCAGCAGAGTGAAGGTGAGCGCTCAGGCCCTGCCCTGCCCTGCCCTGCCCCGCCCTGGCTCACTGCCCTGCTGCTGCCCTTGCATTCCCGCTGTGTGCCTGCCAGGGGCAGGCTCCTAATTGAGTCAGTGTTGGGGGACAGGGTGAGTCCCATAGGGGACCTCAAGCACCTGGAGGCTTGGGTGCTTGTGCCTGGTGGGGTGGGGGCTGGTGCTCCAGGTGTGGCCGACAGGAGGCTAGGAGGTGGTGTGACAGGAGGGGGGGGGGTGGCTCCAGGCATTAGACCCTGGGACATAGGAGAGGACAGACCATGTCTCCTGTGGAGCCTGCAGTTCAGCCAGGAGACAGTGCCTCAGAAGACCCTGCCCCAGGGCCCAGAGGACACGGGAGTCCCCAGGGCCCAGAGAACACGGGAGTCCCCAGGGAGTTGGTTTGCTAGAGCAGATGTGTGAGGCCACATTGAGTACAGTGAGGCCCATGGCCATGCTTGCAGGGTCTGAGAGAGTTTCAGGTAGCCAGCCCAGGGGACCCAGAGAAGGATGGGAAACGAGGCGGGCCAGAGGGTGGCAGTGCCCAAGGGGAAGCTATTGGGTATCCATGAACCCTGGACAGGCCCTTGCAGCCATCCAGCCCTACCCAGCTCTGGTCAGGCCTCGCTGGTGGCGGGTGTGAGTGCCCGGCTGGTGTGTGACTCATGTATCCCTTGCTTTGTGCTGAGCAAGCCTTAGACTGAAGGACTAGCGGAGTGGACCCTCGGGGCCGGTAAGCCAGGGTCCCCCCCGGCGTCCCTCTCAGCGTGTCCCCAGCCAGCCTGTGTCCTCAGGTTCCCACCACTTCCTGGGAGCCCAGGAGAGGGGCTGAGCCAATTAGCTGTCCAGGGCCCTGGGACTGGGTGGACAGAGGTCTCCGGGTGGGAGCCCAGGAGTGCTGACACGTCGGCCAGGACACAGGTCTCTGCTGGTGCCTCCATCACTCGGCTGGAGACCAGCCTTTGGTCTGAGCACTGGGGTGAGGTGTGGGCACCACACTGGCTTGTGCCCCTGTTGCCAGCCACTGCCCCCTTGCCTCTGCAGCTGCTCCTGCTTCCTGGGGTGGAGCCAGCCCTGCCCTGTGTCTGCATGGCTGTCCCTCACATTCCACCTGCTCAGACCCACCCCGTCCTGCCCTGCCTGCCTGCCTGGGAGCAGCCAGGGGTCCTGGAAATGGCCAGGCCTAGCTGACCCTGTCATCCTTCTCTCCCTTCTCACCCCCAGGGAGCAAAAGCAGCGGGTCCACCCGGAGCAGCCGTCGGGCCCTGGGCCGAGAGGAGGAGCGCCGGGCAGCTGGAGCCAGGGGCAGTGGCAGCGAGTCAGACCACACGGTGCTGAGTGGGTCGGGCGGCACTGGCAGGCGGGAGCGACCGGTCAGCCAGCTCAGCCGGGGCAGCAGCCCCCACAGCCAGCTCTCAGCCGTTGCCCCAGGGCTCCCCCCACTACACCCCCTGACCAAGGCCTATGCAGTGGTGGGTGGGCCACCTGGTGGGCCACCTGTCCGGGAGCTGGCTGCCGTCCCCCCAGAGTTGACAGGCAGTCGCCAGTCCTTCCAGAAGGCCATGGGGAACCCCTGTGAGTTTTTTGTGGACATCATGTAACTGGCCGCCTGTGCCTTCAACCCTGCCCATGGGGGGAACAGTGGCCCCTACAGGAGCTCTGTGGGCCTACGTGGTGGAGGCTGGCCAGGGGGCGTGGGAGCAGGCTGGAGGCGAGGGCCGAGGTCAGCCCATTGCTGTGATCTGGCATTTCCTGCGGTAGAGCGGCTTGTATCGCAGAGCCTTGTGGGGGAGACCATCTCTGTCCTTGGCCTGAGCCCCAGGGACCCTCTGAGCCCCCTTGGGGATGAGGATGCCCTCTTTGGCTTCATGTTGCTCCCACTTCCAGAGCCACGTGAAGGTGGGCCTGCAGCCTTCCTCACCCAGTGCACAGGCCTCACCTGTCAGCCCTGGTGGGGACCTCGAGTGCAGGATTAGAGCCCCCAGACCCCTCTGGCTGCCCAGAGTGGGGTCTAACTTATTTATTTATTGCCAGCCTGCCCACTCTGGGGGAATGGCTAGTCAGCTGTCCCCCTCCCTGCCCAGCTGGGGGTGGCTGCCTATTCCCCTGCCCTCCTGGGACCCAGAGAGGAGGGGAGCACAGGCTGAGCCTGGAAGCGTGTGGTGGATGGTGGGGGGCAGGTCAAGGGGCACCCTGCGCACCGTGACTCCCTTGGGGCCGCTGTGCCACTGTCTTTTTGGGCACGCCCGGCCCTGCTCACTGCGCTGTAGATACTGTGTCAGTCCGCGTCTAGTTCATGTAGAGCTGCTTCTGTGTAAATGCTATTTTAAACACTAAAAAGCATTTAATTTTATGGGACTTGTGTGTGAGCCATGTCCCTTCACTGGCTGGGTTTCGGCAGGATGCAGGGCCCAGCCTGGAGCTGTCCCTGGTCTCTGACCCGAGGTCTTGGACAGCTGCTGTCCTCCGGCTCCTCTGTCTGTGAGGCTCTGTCCCTGGTGCTGGATGGCAGCAGGGGTCCTGGCAGCAGTTTTCTGTCCTTGGTGCTGGCTCCTGGCTTCAGGGGTCCCAGTGGCCAGCGCTGGCCATGGTGCTGACCCCCACCTCTGCCTGGGCTCTGTCCATGGTGCTGGCTTGGGTAGGCCAAGGAGAAAGGAGGCCCTCTCTTCCCTGAGCAGCCCTCTGCCCTGCTGGCCCTCCCATCCTGCCCTGGTCATGTGCTCATGCCCACCTTCCACTCCTTTAACACCTGCAGGGGGCTAGGTGGAGGCCCCAGGCTGGATGCAGCCAGGTGAGCAATATGCTACCTGGCTACTGGTGACTGGAAAGGGCTTTGCAGAGTTCACGGTGTGGCTGCAGGTCTTAAGGCACCCTCTATGGACCACCTCCCAGGATGGTGGGCCCAAGCCTCCTGGTCAGACCTTGGTTGGCAGAGTCAAGGACAAGGCTTGCATCTGATACCCTGGGGTGGGGTCACAGGTCCTCTCCCACTTGGTACAGGCCTCGGCATCACAGTGGGCTCAAGGTTTGCAGGCACTTGGGGTCAGAATCCAGGGCTTGAGGGTCTTTGTGGGGGCACAGTCTGGGGGGCTGCTAGGTTTGGGGGTATCTCTACTAGGGCTGGAGTCACTAGGTATGAGGGTGTGGGGTGAAGGGTCCCTCGTTTCCCTGAGGCCCCTCGCTACTCCCACTCCTGCCCCTGTCCCTGGCATCCCCAGGACCTGCCCCCAGGAAGAACTCAGGGGTGTTGAGCCTGGGCCACCACAGGAGCAGGTAGCATTTTGGTAGGTGGAAGGCAGCTAGGATGCCCAGGGCACAGAGGAGGATGGCACCCATCTGCACAGCAGGCTGGTAGACCACCTGCACATTGGTCAGGAGGGGCACAAAGGAGACCCAGGTGATGAAGTAGGCTAGCATGGCAAAGGTGAGGCCACGGGCGTGGTTGTAGCGGCCAGGCTGGCTCTGCACCAGGAAGGTGCCCAGAAAGCAGAGGAAGGCCAGCAAGGCGTTGGTGATGTGCACCAGGCCCAGGCTGACCCAGGAGCGCATGTGGCAGTGCACCAGTGCCTCGGTGGGCAGCACCCTCCAGTCTGTCATCACCTCTGGTGTGAAAGCCACCAGGTACCAGGCACACAGCACTGCTTCTGTCAGTATGGCCAGAAGCACCACCAGCCAGGCCCAGGGACCCCGCAGGCAGCCATGCAGCCGGGTCGCCCAATTTGGTGGCAGTTCTGATTCCACAAAGGTCTCTGCTGCCTTTAGGAAGAGTGTGCTCAGGCAGCCAGTGAGTGGGAGGTGTGCCAGTGGCTGCTGGGCAAGGCAGCTGGCTGGGCCTGGCCGGCCAGGAAACAGGAGGACACTGAGGCAGACGAGTCCCAGGCAAGCCAGGCCAAAACAGGCCAGTGGCCCACCTGAGGCCTGAACCAGTGGGCTGTCCCAGTGGCAGGCAAAGAGACCTAGAGCAGCCAGTGTCAGACCCAGCACCAGGCTGAGCAGCAGGAGCAGCAGTAGCACAGCTGGCTCCCCCCATGCCAGGAATCTGGGCCTGCGGGGAAAACAGCGCGTACTCCGCTCTGGGGACCACTGGTCCTGGCCACATGGGGTACAGACGAAGTCATCTGTGGGAGGGTAGGAGAGAGGGTGCTGGGGGCTGTTTCTGGGATCACAGGCTCCCCAGCCTGGCCCTGCCATGGAGCCAGGGCTTTCAGGACTCTCCCCAGGCTCTGAGCCGTGCAGACCTCACCAGGGCAGCTCACCTAGGCTCTGCCGGTAGTTGCCTGCCTTGCAGTCCACGCAGTCGTAGCAGCAGGAGTGGAAGCCCTTCACACGGCGGACTTGACCCTCTTCACACTGCCGAGAGCACTGGGATGCAGGCACCTGGGTGTGGGGATGCAGTGTCTGGCTCCACCCACGGGCACCTTGAGACCCAGAGATTCCCCATTCCCGAGACCGGCCTGGCCCTCGGGCACCACTGTGGTGGGGACCCGGGTGCTTCATGCTCACCTGGTTGCCTGGCATGTGCCAGTGCATCTGTGAGGGCTGGAGCCAAAGGCTGCCATTGAAGGTGCCCACAGTGTGCAGCCTGGGTGTCGGCTTCTGCCACACCCACATCTTCAGGTCGTACTCCATGTCCACGTTCCCCTTGGAGTCAAACTGCAGTGCCAGGCCTCGAGCACGGAAGCTCATGTTGTACATGTTCTCCAGGAGCTGGGGGATTGGGTAGGGAAGCGGGGCTGACCCATCAGCTACCTCCAGCTAAGAGGGGTGTTGGCCCTGTCCAGTAAGGGGCCAGGCACTGAACCCTGGAGCCCTATCCTCACCTGCCAGGGTCGCACAGGCTCCCGTGCAGGGCAGCTCGTGGGGCTGCACTGCAGCGTGTTGTGGAGGGCCTGAGCCACACTGTACACGGCTGCATAGGTGGCGAAGATCTGGTGGTGCAGCTGCCCAGCCGACAGGTTCTGCAGCAGCCCTGTCGACAGGTTCCGCAGGGTAATGTGGTCACACTGGGGGCAGCGTGGCCCTACCACGTGCTCCTCCAGGTCTGGTTTATCATCCAGAGAGGCACAGAAGGCTGGGTCAGAGGCCAACGCTAGTTGCATCTCCACATACTGGGAGAATTCGGGCAGCTGGACACCCCGCTGCAGAAAGCCAAGCACAGTGCCCACCTGGGCAATGCCAGGCAGTGTCATGACCAAGTCTGAGGTCAGCCAGGCCTCACTGGCCACCCACACCTTTGGCGAGAGGTTGTGGTGGATACTGTAGTGCAAAAGGGCGTGGGCAGCCCGGGAGGAAGCAAACAGCACCACCACCTGCACGTTGCTCTGGTTCACCTGGCGCAGCACGTCTAGCACCTTATCCAGCTTCAGGGTGTCGGCGCCAAGGAGTGGGACCAGGCCCTCGTGTGCAATGCAGATGTTCTGTGCGTTGGCCAAGCCTGAGAAGATGCTCAGGCCCTCCCGGCCATACTCATCGTCACTGCCCAAGGCAGCCACCCAGTTCCACTCAAATTTCTGCAGCAGCTTGACTACAGCCTCCAGCTGCACCCGGTCACTGGGCACCGTGCGGAAGAAGGACGGGAACGTGTCTCGGTTGCTCAGTCGGTCCATGCTGGCCCCGTAACTGACCTGTGGTGACCGAGAGACCTTTGACGTGAGGGCTCCCTCACGCAGGGCCCATGGGGACACAGGAGCGGCAGGCCCACCTGTGGCATGAGGAAGAAGCTGAAGAACTTGCCCGTGATGAGGGCCAGCTCTGACGAATGGGGCCCGATGACTGCCAGCACGCGGGGCTGGTACTGCGTGTAGTTACAGTAGGCAGCAATGCTGCTATTGCCTGCCTCTGCCAGGAACATGAGGCTGGGCTTCATAGTGACCATGGGCTCTGAGCATGTGTCGAAGAGGTCATAGCCCAGGTGCAGCCCGGGCAGCAGGGTAGAACTGTTGTTGATCTCCTCCACAGCCATCTTCACGGCCATTGCCAGGAACAGGCCAAGGGATGAGAACCTGAAGCCACACAGGGCTGCAGGTGGCTGCACCTCATCTCTTCCTGGGAGCACCACAGACCTGGGCACACACCCTCCCTCTGCCCCAGCTGCCCACCTTCATACCTGGTGCACACAATGCCACTGGGCCGTGTCCTGTGGCGGAGGCTGGCCTCCTCAGCTGAGCCCAGGGGAAAAAGCCCACCCAGCATGTAGTCTCCTTGCATCCTGAGTTGCCGTGACAGGCACAAGGAGGTCCCTGTCCCCAGGCCCAGGAGAGCTGCCAGGAGGAGACCTAGCACAGCCAGGCCTGGCATGGTAGGCAGTTACTTCCAGCAAGGACAAATGGGTGTGCCAGACAGGAGCCCCAGATGTAAAGCCCAGGGGGAGGTAAAAGATTTGTTTGATTTGTTTAGCAAAACCAGCACCACGCCCACCTGCCAATCCTCCAGGGCCCCCAGGAATGTCGTGATCCAGGCTTTGAAGGTTTGTGCTCCTGAACTTACCGTGACATCACCACTGGGCTCTCTGGCCAACGGTGACCTGGCAGGCAGCTGAGGCCTGTATCCTGCTTATACCAAGACCCTCATCACCTCCATTCCTGGAGCCACCTGCCAGACTAGAAGAGAGGAGGTGTCTAGGGCCCTGGGGTCTCAAGTGACTGGGAGAGAGGCAAGAGGTGCCATATCCTGGGGGGGAGCTCTGGGAGTCCTGGCTTCCAATTCAAGCAGCACTGTCAGTAGTTAGGAGGCTGCAGGGATGGCCTGGCCAGGCCTACAGACCAGCTGGGAGATAGCCAGTCCTCTGCCATACCACTGGGGTGTGAAATGGGTCTTGGGGTGGAGGCTGTCCAGGAGCAGGACGGACCCCTTGAGGATCTGGCCTTTCCTCTGTTGGGGATCTGATCCCTGCAAGCTGTGAGAACCCTATTCCTACTATGCCCCACTCAGCTAACTCCTGGCCCAGGTACTCTCACCTTGACTGATATGTAGGTACCCCCTCTGGGGACAGATTCATGCAAATGAGGGAGGAAAGATCATAACCAAATGGGCTGGAACAGCTGTAGGCACCCTGGGCCTCTTCTCAGCCTGAGTCTGCGAAGCCCTTGGGAGGAGCACTGGGAGGAGCTGTGGGAGACTGGGCTCCACTGGGCCCAGCACAGACTTACGGGAGGTGGAGCCGGCCAGTGCCTCTTCACTGTCGCATGGCAAGGGGCCCAGAGTGCACACGTGGGCACCACACACACAATGCACCTGCAGCCTTGCTCTCTGGCCAGTCCCAAGTGGACCCTGACCTTGTGGGGAGTGCCAAGAGGACCATGCCCAATGTGCATCCTCTTCCTGTCCAGCTGGCTGTCCTGGCAGAGAGCAGTCCCCACCTACATTTGGCCCTGGCCTGGGAAGACCTTTCTCTTCCAACCTGTGTAGCTTCAGGCCTGTCCTTCCTACCCAGCCTCTAGTGTAGGTGACCCTGGGTGTCAGATTTCTCCCAGTAAAATAGGGATGATTTGGTCTTCATGGTGGGGAACCAAGATAAAGCCTTCAGAACAAGCACAAGCAGCATCACAGAGCCGGCTTCTGCCCTGGGCATGCCTTGTGTGCTCATGGTCAAAAAAGCCTTTTGAGTTCTTGGGGTTACATGGTCAAAAAAGCCTTTTGAGTTCTTGGGGTTGGGAGCACATGCCTAAGGCCTGTCTGGAGTCAGGCTCCTCCATGTCCTTGCAGATTACCTCCATGGTCATCCCCAAAGTAACCAGGCACCTGGAGTACCCAACACCCCACCATGGAATGCCATAACTAGTCCCATGAGCATTGTTTATTATGTTGGACGGTATCACCCATATCACTTTCCAAAGGGCCAAGCACACCCTGGAAGCTGCATTCACGCACATCTGCTGCACTGAGAACACTGTCCCTGTGGGTTGGTGAAGAGCAGTAGGAGTGACCAGGCTCCTAAGCATTGCATGATGGCTGGATGGTGTGGCCATCTGATAACTGTCAGCTAGTTAAGGGGGTCCAGCCCCCTCCTAGTCTGGGCACCCCCCATCTCCTGAGCACTGTGTGGAAAGGCAGCAGAGCAGGGGCAGAGGGAATGCCTGGCTCCACCCAGTGGTGTTGGGCCATGCAGGGGTGGCCTGCAATGGTATCTCTGCAGGAGACAGCCTGCTGGGTCTCTCGGGGGAGCTCAAGCCCTCCTTGCAGGAGCTATTTAGATAGCTGGGAAGGTCTTTCTGCTCAAGACTTTAGTTTCCAGGTGCCAGTGCCAAGGACATGAAGGCTCTGGTTTGCTCAGCAGGCAGACAGGCTAACAGGAGGCAGGTAAAGGCCTGGGAGAGTCCTCAGTGCCCAGACCCTGCCCAAGGTTCTCATTCTGCCTCGGGATAGCCAGCCAGGGTATGGAGAGGACTCGGGCAGCTTGGCCTGCTGTGTCCGAGGCCTGGCCTAGGACAAGCATGGGAAGTATACCTGTGGGCTGGGCATACTGGCCGGAACAGCAGCACAGAGCCTTGGTGCCCAGGGACCTGTGTCCTCACACCATTTCACAGAATCCACACATAGCAGTAGGGCAGTCACCAGGCTGTTGCTCATGCAGGATTATGCGCCCCCACCACCTCCAGTCTCCACGCCTCAGTGAGGCTCGACTGAGCACTCTTGTTAACTGAGGAGGGTCTCATTCTGGGCCAAGAGGAGGGCTTGTGCCACCTCTTCTAGGCCAGCTGCCTGCCTTCCTGTCAGCTGATGGCTCTCAATAAGCTCAGCCTGCAGGGGTGAGGGTGGCACCCAGAAAGCTTTGTTGTGGAGTGCATGGGCCCTGGCTGCCCAAGTCCAGCTCTCCAGCAGGGGAAGCCCATCCAGCCTGGGAGTGGCCACTAAGGCAAGTCCAACAGGGAGTGTTCTGCATAGACTTTCTGTGAGACTTCGTACACACGCTGGATGAAGGGCAGGGCTTCGCCCAGCATCTCCACAGCCTGCTCCGGGGACCCCACGTTCATGGCCTCAAGGAAGATCTTGCGTGTGGGCAGTGTGCAGAAGGCCACGGTGACTGCCTGGCGCACAATCCAGGGGTGGTAGGCGGCCAGGGAGGCATTGTAGGAGTCGGTACAGAGTGCGGAGGTGCGTGCATCCTCAGGGCTGGTGCGCAGGCCCTCCAGGAACAGTTGTAGCCAGCGCAGAGCTCGGTGCAGGCGCAGCAAGGTCCGGCAGCCTGAGGTTGGGTGGCGGGAGCGGCGATCGAGGTCCACCAGCTTATTGCCCACCTCGTAGGCCACCATGGACTGCAGGCTCATGTAGTGCTCATGTTGGGGGCTGCTGCGTAGACGCTCCATAATCTGCAGCTTGGAGACCACATCCTTTGAGATGAAGGAGAAGATGGTGCCTAGGCTATTCAGAAACCTGTGCAGCAAAGACAGAACTTGTGGCCTCACCCAAACCCAGAGTACCCAACCTGTTCCAGGGACACCACCCTCAGACTGTGGGCACATGTTGGCCCAGAGGCAGGGGTGAGAAGACTGGCAGAGAACAGTCCACCAGCATGCCTGCCCTGTGCCCTGGCAAGTGGATTCCGTCAGGGAAAGCTGCTATCTTGGGGACCTCTGTAGGAAGGTGCCCTGTACACGCACCTGACCAGCCCCTTCCAGCCGGCGATGTAGTGGTCCAGCAGTACTTCTTCCTCCTCGCTGAGACATTGCTGGAAGCTGACCAGCACAAGCTTCAGGTTGAACTCCGCCTCCAAGCCATCCATTTTCTAACACAAACTAAAACAGTTCCACACAGAGCTTGTGGGTCCTCTGCTGGGTCAGCTCTCTCTGTAGCTCATTTATTTCAGGGAGGTGGGAGGATGGAGGAACAGTTGAAATAGCTGGGGTCCTGCAACTGTCTGCCCCTGACGAAGCCCCATTCTCTTATGCTGAGTGCCCCCTCCCTGGAGCCACAGGCTCTCTCACAGACCCCATACGCAAAGACTTGGGCCTGGCTCCTCCTCGTCATTCATGCCACTGACTCAGGTCAGCCCCTGACCTGAGGACCCCCAGCTGCCTCCTGTTTGCAGCAGGCCCCTCTGTCAAGGCTTCCTGCTTATTTGTTTTGATTTCTTTCCCTAAAATCCCTGTTTCACAGTGGGGAAATCCTTCTGAGAGACAGGCACTACCTCAGCATGGTTGCACCTGAAGCCCCCTGTGAAGGCAACATTCTGATGAGGAGTTTAGATCCTAATAGAAACACGGACTCTGAGACAGTAGGCACTTCTGACACAGTAGACGAGGAGACAGATACTGTGGAAGACAGAGATAGGAGCGCAAGAGCAGGTGGGAGGGTGGCTGGGCAGACTTCTCTTCCTTGCTTGTGGCTGTACTCTAAGGCCAGGGTACAGGCTGTGGGGCCAGCATCTGCTGCACAGGTGGACACCCATCTTTCCTCCTGCCGTTGGACCTACACACATTCCATACAGAAGGGTGGCTCGGCTAAAGGTCTTACCACATTCAGAAGACTGCCACAGGCCCTCCCCAAAGGAACACTCCAGGGAACTGTCTGGAAATGGTCCAGGATCAAGTTCTCAAGGTGGGAACAGGCTCTGGATTCTGCTTGTGTCTCTGAGGTCACTCCACAGACATCCCAGTGCCCACACCTTGGTCTGCCTCCAATCACCCCAGCACCCACCTTCCTGGGTGCCCCAAGGGCCTGGGGCTCATGGCAAACCTGTGGGAGTGCTTAATGGGCTCTGGGTACCTGAGTCTGTCTCACCTAGGTCCAGGATGAACACTCACCCCACTAGGGGCTGGAGGTTCCTGTGCCCCTTGATGCTGGGAGCCCTGACTGGCCTCCCTACCCGAGAGCCCGACAGGACAGGACACTGGCTCTCCACACAGGCTCTGTCTTCCACTCTCAAAGTCCTTCAGCTCTGAGGAAAACACCCTGCACTCTCCGCCCTTCCCACGGCCCAGGCTGCCCCAGCCTCCTGTGAGCCGGTGCGGGAGGAGAACCAGCAGGTTCCACGGGTTGGGCTGCCTGCTTGGTAAGGGTGGAGCCCGAGCAGATGGGCTCACAGTGTCTTCAGGTGTGGAGGGCTGCAGGGCCTGGGCCTCAGGACCATGGCTTCGGGGTCCTCCCCTCTCTCAGGGCCTAGTGCTGTTCACTGAGCAGATGCCTCCAGGACTCCAGGGGTTCCTTCTTGGCCACCCAATATCTTTCGGGGTCCAGCCTTCCTGCCCCGAACCCGAGCCAGCGGAAGGACTGCCAGGGGCCTCTCAGCGCTGTCCCCGGAGGGGTGGGAACAGGAAGGGCCGTGCCTGCGCAGCCGGGAGCCGGCAGCCTGCCAGTTCCCTGAAGTACCTCTGAGCCTCCCCGGGGAAGACAGGGCGCGGCAGGAGGGCAGGCTGGACGTCCATCAGCACGTCCCCTCTGGCACTCCAAGCCTGGCACGCGGGCCAGGCTGACCGCCTGCAAGTCTCACCTAGCAGTCTAGCGGGCACCGGGCTGGCGGGTCTCTGCTCCTGCTGCGGGACTTAGGGCGCGGCAGAATCCGGATGGCGGGGAGGGTTGACCAAGGCCGCAGATCTGCGCGGCGGGGCGCGGCGCGGAGCGGCTGGGGAGCCGGCTCCTCGCTCGCCCCGCCTCCCCCGCGCCAGTTCTCACCAGTTACAAGGCGGCCTCACCTCTCCTAACCTGCGGTTGGGCAGGTGTGGCGAGCGCGGCCCCGCCCCTCCTCGCCCCGCCTCCTTGCCCTTCCTGTGCACTCTGATTGGTTGCCACCTGTCCAATCCGGATTCCGCGCACCAGCCCGCGTTTCCGGCGAGCAGACCGGAAGTTGGCGCCGTGGTGGCACCTGCGCAGTGCGTCGCCGCGGCTAGTAGGGTGGCGCGTCCCTGGCCCTCCCTGTCAGCGGAGCACGGAGGATCTGGGCTGAGGGCCCGCCGCGAGCGCAGGATGCCTGAGATCAGAGTGACTCCCTTGGGTGAGTCGGAGCCGCCGAGGACGTTCGGCATTTTGCCCTGAGTCTGCGCACTCTGAGGGCCGGGCGCCTTTGCCCCCGCGGGCCGCCTGCGCTGTACCCACTGGGAGACTGTGCGCAGGCGGCGCGGGGCAGGAGTAGGGGCAGGTCAGAGCCGGGGCCTCCTCGCGTCCTCTTCCTGGCTCGAGGTCCAAAGGTTTGGGGGTTGGTCTTGGCTCCAGAGCTTGCTGTGACTTCAAGGGGGCTCAGTTACCATACTCAGGCTCCTTAGCACTGAAATCAGCATGAGACCACCTGGGGTTAGGTGGCTAGCAGGTACAGTGTGGGTCCTGCGGAGGTGCTGTTTTTGTGTCTAGCCGGGCAGTGGGCTTAAGTCCAGCCACAGGGTCTACATCATGGCTATGGGTGCCTCCATCAGCGTGCTGACCCCTCCCTGCACGTGAACTGCTGCTTGAACACCCTCTGTGCCCACCTCTGCTTCCTCAGCTCCCCTCCACCTCCACCGTTTGATTCCTCTCTCTGGCTGTGTCCCACCTCCACCCTCTGCTTCTCATGCCAAGGTTACCCCCAACCAACCTTCAGTAGCATCCTGTCTTGCCAGTCTCTGCAACGTTAAAAAAAAAATAGCTTCACTTTTGGGAAAAAAGTATAGATTCACACTTCTTGAAGTCTTCTATATATATATATGTATATGTATATATGTATGTTTATTTATTTATTTTAGTTGTAGATGGACAAATACCTTTATTTTTTTAAGAGAGAGAGAGAATTTTTTAAAAATATTTATTTATTTTTTTTTTAGTTTTTCGGTGGACACAACATCTTTGTTTGTATGTGGTGCTGAGGATTGAACCTGGGTGGCACACATGCCAGGCGAGCGCGCTACCACTGGAGCCACATCCCCAGCCCCAAAATACCTTTATTTTGTTTATTTATTTTTATATGGTGCTGAGAACTGAACCCAGTGCCTCACGCAAACAAGGCAAGCACTCTACCACTGAGCCACAACTCCAGCTCTTCTTGAAGTCTTGAAATCCAGAGTCCCAGAAACTGTCTCAATATCTCTGGCTTTCTTTGTGCGCATATGCTATTTGTGGCCCTAGAACTTGCTTTCTTCCCTGAACAGAGTGTCTGGAGGATCTTTCCATTTGGATGTCCTGCTCAGGATTCCAGATCACCTTGGCCAAATAGTCTCCCCAGGTTACTCCACTGTAGGGCCTTTGCACAGCTGTCTTTCCATCTTCCTACCCACTCACCCCCTGCTGGGAAGTCGTGTTCTCCAGAGTCTTTCCAGCCATGGTTCCGGAGCTTTGGAAGAACTGCCAGTGCCTAAGAACTAGTGTTGGAATTCAGATAACCAAACCTGGCCCTGTACTTTGTGGCTATGTGCTCATGGGTGCTTCCATGACCCCAGGTCCTTCCCTTTCCCCTCCCATAAACATCTGGAGGGTCTCTGGACCTGACTTGGCCTCAAGTCTAGAGGTACAGTAGGGAAGAGACAGCTGGGACCCTCTCCTCTGGGGCTCTTGTCTGCAAGACAACCCAAGACCCCTGCCATGCCTGCCTGAAACCAGCAGGTTGATGGGTCATGGCCAGGTCAACTTGATGTGTATGATGCTGCCAGATGGTTGGTTCAGGTAGATGGCAGAAGCAGATGTGTAGGATTCAAGGTGGAAACCAGACTATTTGGTGTCCTCAGATCCCCATTGAGGCTTGGGCTGTGTTCCTCTGTTTGTAGATTCCAGGCTCCAGAGGAAGTGACAGATGGCCACATAGGGTCAGGTGTGTTTCCCTCTGGCCAAGGCCTTAGACTGCAGAAGCTGGTGGGGTCTCTTGGAAGTCAGAAGAATGAGTGGGACCATGGTTGGCAAGAGCTAGGGATGTAGTGGTGTGGCACAGCATTCCCACTGCCTGGGTTGGGTTGTTCCTGCTGTAGCCATAGTTGTCGGCTATTGCTGGACAGCCAGGGCTGTATCCCTGTGAGTGACTTGAGGCCACCTGGGTGTCTTTCTGTAGCAGTACCACCATAAGGCACCCTGGACCCCCAATGAGTCCCAAAAGAGAAGACCTCAGTTCACAGCTTGGCTAAGTGCCCACAAATGGCCCTGTCAAACTCTGGAACTTAGGAGCAGCAGTGAGACCCACAGAGCAGTGGTTTGCCTGTTATTGGAGCTAGGACCACAGCCAGTGCTTGGGTATCCTCCATTGGGGTTGCCCCCAACTTTGAGAATTGAGGGGAAGCTTGGTGGAAGAGGGCACTTTGACCCTAAGCTAGTAGCTCAGCATTTAGTCCCCTCCCTGTGCATTTCTCTTGCCTGCAAGTGGAGGTGGCTGTCTTCTCAGCCCATGCTCTGCCTATACAGTGGCCTTGGGGTTCAGTGCTCTAGCTCAGCTCTGCAGAGTCTGGGAGGTGACAGTGCGGGCAGCACTTACAGCAGTGAAAGAGGGAATTTGGGGACAGAAGGAGGAGGTATGGCCATATTTATCACCTGCCCTTTCTCTTGAGCAGGGGCTGGGCAGGATGTGGGTCGCAGCTGCATCCTGGTCTCCATCGCGGGCAAGAATGTCATGCTGGACTGCGGGATGCACATGGGCTTCAATGATGATGTGAGTCCTGAATGCAGGTGCCCGGAGGGAGGGTCCATCTCTCAGTTGCTCCTTGTAGTTGTCTGTAATAGGATCCCTGGGTCTTGGAGTGAGAGGGCAAGTGGGCAGCTGTACCCATTCAGGGTGGGGTGAGGCTCCCTGGTTCCTGCTGGGTTTCTGTAGGCTGGGCTTTAGGAGGTGCTGGGTAGTGAGGTTGGTGGTGACTTTAGCCAGCAGCTTGTCCTTCCAGGCAGCTGTGAGCAGCCAGTGGTTGACGCTATCAGCTGGGAGTATGCTACTCCTGGGGTGCCAGCTGTATGCCCCCATTCCTGGAGACTGGGGTGGCCTGCTGTGTTCTCACCTCTCCCATGGTTTCTCCTCAGAGGCGCTTTCCTGACTTCTCCTACATCACCCAGAATGGCCGGCTGACTGACTTCCTGGACTGCGTGATCATCAGGTCGGCTTCCTTTAGGGGCCTTTCTCCTCCCCTACCCACAGAGGCTACAGGTGTGGTGTGTTGCCTACTGACTGTGTCATGGAGTCCTGTCCCCAGGTTTCCTGTGTGGCACTCAGGGTGGTGGTCAGCCCCTCGGAACTAGGGGGCACTCCATGTAATTGTCCCTGCTGACTGTGTCCCCAAGTGTGTGGACTAGAGTCTGGTAAGTGCCCTAAGAAGCTGAGTGGGGCAGGGCAGTGCCTAGATGGTATGCTTCACCTTCATCCCAGGCTGCTCTTCAGGCCCTGACCGGGTAGCAGAGATTGGGTCCTCTGGTTGGTTCTGTCCTGTTTCACTGGTCACACACCCCATCTCCTTGCTCTTTCTCCCCAACCCTAGCCTTGGTCCCGTTCTTTTGCTGTCTCTGGAACATTAAGCCCACTGATTGTTCTCATTCCTGACCCTGATCCTAACACTTCGCTCTAGGTTCGTGGTCTCGCTAGCCACCTGTCACCTCCCCAGCTCGACAGGCTGATTCAGGGGAGGCAACTTTGCCTTCCCCCTCCCTGCTCTCACCCTCAGGCTCTATCCCCTCAATCCCTGCTGTCACCACCTGCTCTGAGTGGCCTTGCCTGATTGCCTCAGCATTCTGGTACTGTCTCTCAGTGGCCAGAGGAGTCCTTTGGGCTGAAGCACCCTATGTTGGGCAGCTGGGTCCTCGGTTGCTTGGATGTCTGGTTTGGGACATGGTCATGGGCTGCTTGCCTACCCTGGGGTAGAGACAACAGCTCTCCCCTCCTATGATGCCATCCCCCTCAGCTGCCTTGTTTCTGTGCAGAGCACGTCTATAGCTAAGACGTGTTTTAGTTAACGATTTGTTTCCTGCTCTGAGTGTTCAGGCTGCACATTTGGGAAGATAGCGGTTCTTGTATTTGTTATCCTTGACTTCAGTAATCAGGAGGGTGGCTTCAGTGAATGAGCGGAGTGACCCATGATCCCAGAACTGGAGTGGGGTGGCTGAGAGAGGGTGATCCCAGGCCAACTGGTGCCTGTCCTTCCAGCCACTTCCACCTGGACCACTGTGGAGCACTCCCCTACTTCAGCGAGATGGTGGGCTATGATGGACCCATCTACATGACCCATCCCACCCAGGCCATCTGCCCAATCCTGCTGGAGGACTACCGCAAGATTGCCGTGGACAAGAAAGGCGAGGCCAACTTCTTTACCTCCCAGATGATCAAAGACTGCATGAAGAAGGTGGTAGCTGTCCACTTGCACCAGACAGTTCAGGTCAGGGTCCCCAAGTGCCCAGGCTGGCACAGTGCTCTCTAGGGCTCCTCCTGCATACAGTCTGTGAGGTCCAGTGGCTTTGGACTCCAATCACCCCATCTCACTATTTTGCCCAGGCCTGTAGGACCACCAGGAGGCAGCAGTGGGCAGGTGACCCAGATTTGGCATGTAGCCTGGGGGAGTGCACTTGTGTGACAGGCGGCTTTTGTTCAGGTGACACTAAAGAGACCATCTGCCACCTTCTGCCTCAGGACACTTGTACTGTCTGAGCACACCGAGATAAAGGGCACATGTGGTCTATCAGACACTCAGGGAGTCTGTTTTGTTTTTGTTACTGGGGCTAAACTTAGGGCTTTGCAGATCCTAGGCAAGGGCTCTGACTCTGAGTTCTACCCACAGCCTGTCGCCTGGTCTCCTGGCGTGTTGCTAGGTAGG